AGCGCCCTTGAGAGGGAGTTGGCCGAAGGGCGAGGTGACCCTGTCATCCAGGTCAGGACCAGGACCCCATTCACTAACAGGGTGCTCTCGGCCCCCATCCCGGAGAAATACAGGGGAAACGCCATCAAGTCCTACGACGGCCGATCAGACCCCCAGGAGCATTTCAGCCGCTATCAGAACAACATGCTGATGGTGAACGCGTAGGATGAATACCTTTGCCGTTGGTTCCTCTCCACTCTCGAGGGCCCGACGTACGAGTGGTTCAACGCGCTTCCCGAAGGAAGTATAGACTCATGGCAGGACCTTGCCCAACGCTTCCTCACCCACTTTGCCGGGAGGAAGCATGCGAAGAAATATTTCACCCACCTCCTCTCCGTCAAGCAGCAACATGACGAACCCCTCCGGTCATTCATTGATCGATGGACGAGGGAGTCCGAGGAGGTCGAGGGGGCCGATGAGCGCACCCTCCTCGTCCTATACAAAAGGGGGCTTTGCAGCTCCCCATATGCCAGGAGCCTCATCACCGACCCCCCGAGGTCATACGCAAAGGCGCTCCAGCGCGGGAGCTTGTACGCTGATGCCGACGAGCTCCACAACCACAAAAAAGACGGAGGCCATCCCTCCAAGAAGTCAAATCCTTCACCGGCCTCGGGAGCATCCCCGGCCGGCCAGGGTGCCCAGGGGCGTCACGGCTCTGGTGGACAAAGCAAGAAAGACCGCCACTGGCGGCCGAGGTTGGAACGGCGGGGGTCCCACTCACCCACCCGGTCAGCACCATCCTCGACTATGCCGAGAAGCATGGCCTCATTGAACAAGCTCCTCGGCCGGCCGAGGAAGTCCTTGCCATCCAGCAAAGCGGCACATACTGCCGGTTTCACAAGAACTCCTCACACAACACCGACGACTGCATCACGCTGAAGAAAGCCATCGAGCGCCTTATTCGCCGGGGGAACTCTCCCAATTTGTTAAAGGTGGCCCGCGCAAAAATACGTGGGTAAACACCGGCAAACCTGGGGGCGAACCCTCTACGAAGAAGCGGGAGATCGGTAGGCTCAGCGACGACGAGGATTTCGAGGAGCCTCTGCCAAAGAAGAACCATATTCACCTCATCGTAGGTGGGAATACCGGGGGGGACTCCATCACCCAGAGGAAGAAATGGGCCCAATCCCTTTACATTGGGGAGGTGTCCCACGTTCCCCCCAGCCGAAGAAGCAGTGAACGGAGGCGATCACCTTCACCGACAAGGATCTGCCTCCGGGTACGGAATCACACAGGGATGCCCTCGTCACCCGGTGTGAGATCGGTGACTCCATCATCCACCGCACTTACATCGATACGGGGAGCTCCGTCAACGTGATGTACCTGGACACCTTCAGGCAGCTCAAACTGGAGGCAGTTGTAGGGGTTACAAAATCATTCTATTGAAGCATCTACTTGCACTTCTCTCTCTAGCTCTCACTTCTCTCTAGATATATACTCTATCACACAACATCAACAATGGGGGCCAATATTGCTCTTTTTTGCAAATAACTCGGATAGTTATCAGTGTAGCAAGGGAATGACAGATGCATTCAACCATCTTTGATATAGGATCTTCAAATTCTTTAATCAAGAACTCACCAGGAAATTCTATCTTTGTAAAACCATCATTTGGTCATCCAATAGCGCCATCTGCAATGCTTGCAATCCACCCAGAAAATTTAATGAGGTATTCTGATTGATCACTACATTGCAAATGAAGAAGCCTCAACTTCTTCGTTAGGCGCATGACATTTGTATGTTTTCACAAATAGGAAGAATTTATAGATGCATTCACAATATCTTGACTCGTTCCATTGGTTATGACATGAAGGATTTGTCTAAAATATCCACCAAACACTATTGTTTGTCCACTAGAAGGCATATGTCGACCTAGTGGATTACTAAATCGCAAAGTATCACGAAGAGTCTGATCTAAAGCTTCAAAAAAGGGGAGGCAATGTCACTAGATGTAACATTTAATACAACCTCACACTTATAACGTATTGCACCAGAATGAATGGTCCATACAAATGTTTTTCTGATTCTGTCATATCCATACACGAAGAAAACTCCATCATTATTTGAATCAACGGTGTTTTACCCTACTTTAGAAATTATATGAAAAATGCTTAATAGCAGTAACAAGTATTATTTGAAAAGAAAAGTGATTTAAGAAAAATAAAACAAAGAATGTTTCATGAAAAAATTGTTTAAATAATGGAGAAAATTGTAAAGTTATTTAAAATTCCCATACCACTAATGGAAAAAACTCAATGTAAACAGAAATACGTATTATAACCTTTGTTAGTTTATTTACGTATAATACACTTAAATATATAATTCACGTATAATACTCATGTTTATGATTTTTTCATAAAATTATGAAAAATTATGTACTTTAAGGATAAATTATAATACATGTATCATATGTATTGATACGTATTTTATTAAAAAAAACATACTAATGCAACCTAATGAAGTGGTACAATTGAAGCGAATTGTCTAGCGGCTCAATACTATTTATATTGTTTTTTTATCACAAAAGAGCGACTGTTATATTAAAATCGAGAACACATACAAGACAACGTTCAAACAAAATTTAAAGATCCTATCGTGAACCCTAGGTATAGACTTAGAGTCAGTCACCCCATACAAAGCAACATGACTCGCTAAACCAGAAACGGGCAAATTTAGGCCTAAAACGACCGGAACCGAAACCCTGTCTATCAAAAGAACTCTAAAAAACCAAACATTCAAACCAAATCTAATCGGACTAAAACAGAAACAATTGCAACTAAAGAGAAAATAATACTGAAATAAAATCTTTCCACAAAGCTCTTCCTGGTATGGAGGTGGTTCCGGAGGAGGACAAGCTCTTGCAATATGGGTGAATACTAACTCCACCACCGTCGGAATGGCCAACCAAGTCTTCACGATCCGGCCTCGATACAACCTCCCAGTCGCATCTTGTTCATCCGCCAACACTATCACCTTCGACGTAGTTGCAATCACAAGCGTTAGAACTCTTAAAATCAGAATAATCCGTCGCTCCAACCTCATATTGATAGGGGCGGCGGAAAATCTCAACCCTTACAGAGAGGGGAGACGGCCGCTAGAGAGAAGAGATAATTTAAGCACTTGCTATTTATATTGCTTAAAAATTTATTATGCCTTATGGGTTCGTTAATTGTTTAATATAGTACCACCGTCCCACTAACATTGAGACGGAAGAAGGTGGCGTGGTTATTAAGAAAATTGCATTTGTGTGGTTGATATTGAATTGATAAAGTAAGAATGATGGAGAGTCACACAAACTTTACCAAATATGGTATGAGACAATCTTAGTGGGTTTTCCGAAAAGGTAAAATGGGACAATCTTAGCGGGACGGAGAGAGTAGTTATTACAGAGTAGCTTTTAAATTAGTTCCTTAAACTCATAATCCATTTCGATATTACTATTGTATAACTATTGTATTACTCTTGTGCTCCACACATACCAAGACTCCAAAGAGAAAAGAATATTGTGGCGGCTCACCAAACTCACAACCACAATAATATCAACTATTCTCTAGTAATATTTATCTACTTCTAGTCAATAGGCAACACCAATTTTATAACCTAGTGCACCTATGAATTCAAATTCGTACCTATGAAAAAACTATTTTGTACATTTTAAATTGTTAAAGAGTGCGGCGCATATGTTAAATTATTCTTTATTTTTACCATTAAATTAGTATATAAGACACGTATTATATGATGTATTATTTAATTGTGAAACGCTTAAAACATGTATGTATCTTTATAAGTTTCACGAACGTATGAAACATATACTTGTATTTAGCTGTATTTTATATAATTGTATCGTATTATACACGATCATACATATTATTGTACTAGTGTTTCACCCTGGCATTGATGCGGGTGAAATTTTAAATTATATGGCTAGTATGTAAGTTATACTTGTAATATGGTTATTATTCTTCAATTTATATGACAAAAATTGATGGATGATAAAATAACAACCGATAATACAATATTAATATTATCATACTTTAGAAAATAATATTTTGAGTTTTATGAGCTATATTTAATAAGACACCTAACATATAAAATAATACTTAGATAAGACACGTATTATATGCCATATTATTTAATTGTGAAAGTTTAAAAAATGTTTGTATCTTTATCCGTTTCTGTATGAAACATGGGCGGAGCCAGGACACTGGGTCAGATTGGATCAGTACAAAAAATATTTTTTGAAAAAAAAATTATACGAATATTTTTACACAAAAAATATAGATATTTTTTAAATTTGGGCTAGGCCGGGGCCAGGGTTGACCCCTCCCTAGCTACGCCCCTGGTATGAAACATATACTTATATTTAGCTGTATTTTATATAATTGCATCGTATTATACCCGAACGTACATATTATTGTATTATTCACGACCCCTATAATACTAACAAAGATTACGAGACACTGATTTTACCCTTTTAAAGTTAAAAGGGAAAACAGTCAAATAGGTCCTCAAACTTTCATAAAAAGGTCAATTAAGTCCTTCTATAGGGGTTCTGTCCGGACGTCGCGATTTGGGGCAGTTCCCGGTGGAATTTTTTGATGAATTTTTTTGAGCATCTTATTCACCAAGTCTAGTTTACTCATACCGAATTTCAGCTAAAAACTCAATCGGGAACACATTCAAATTTATTCTTGAAGATAACTGCGCATTTTTGCGTTCTCGAATTAATTTGAATGCGCTCCCGATTAAACTTTTAGCTGAAATTCGATATGAGTAAACTATATTTGATGAATAAGATGCTCAAAAAATTTCATAAAAAAATTCCATCGGGAACCACCTCAAATCGCGACGACCGGACAGAGTCTCCTATAAAATGACTTAATTGATTTTTTATGAAAGTTCGAGGACCTATTTGATAGTTTTCCAAATAGGAAAACACTTCATTAAAGCAATTGTATATTGTACACAATGCTACCCTCAAGCAAATGCGAAAGGCTTTCTGAATTCTGACCATTTACCAAATGGCCAAATGACAATCTTCGCTCCCTCTGCAACGGCCATTTCCCGCCATGTCTTGCCTCCCGCTGGATGCTCTACCCATCTACCTTTCCACTCTCTTCTGCCCTAAACCCAAAGCCCTACATTCCAAGCTCATCATCAATCCCTGCAAATCTCACCTCCAATCTGAGCGCGGACTTCAGTTCGATGTTGGCGACACCTTTTTCCGTCGCGAGAGCGCCACCGGACGTGACCTCGGCGTGCTCTCCGCGGCCCTCCGACGGAATTCAGAGGGAAGTCTCAGAGTTCTGGACGCCATGTGCGGGTGCGGAATTCGATCCCTCCGGTACTTGGAAGAAGCAAATGCCGATTTCGTGCTCGCGAATGACGCGAATGACTGCATCCGGGGCATAATTTTGGGGAACCTCTCGCGGGTTTCTAGAGATTCCAGTGAAAGATGGGCTGTGACGCATTCAGACGCGACTAGGGTCTTGACCGAGTGTTACTTAAAAAGAGATTATTTCGATTTCATCGATGTTGATTCATTCGGGAGCGATTCCAGCTTTCTACGAGCTGCAGTTGGGGCCGTAAAATTCGGTGGCATGTTGTATGTTACTAGCACAGATGGTTACTCTTCCGGGGGTAACCGTCCTGGCCGGTGAGCGTTCAACATTTATCTTTGAAGTGTAAGGTTAATCTCAACATAAATGATCTACCTATGGTTCCGCAGCTAATAAGCTAGTTTTAGCTATATCACACTTTCATTTTCGCAGGTTTGGTGCACAATCAAAGTTTTTTTCTGCCACTTTCAATCGTTCTCACCGTTTATCGAACGAAAAACAATCAAGAATTGTATGGAATTTGTTCGGATAAGTGATGCGAAGGTTCACAATTGCAAAACTTTCGCATTTGCACACCTAAAATGGAAAAGGAAAGTTGGAACCCAAAAAGTAAAATAATCTAATACGGAGCAGTAGTGATAAGGAAAGTGACTTAATTTCTTATGAACATTCATTGTGCTATAGTTACTCTGACAGTGCTTTTTTTTGTTGACCTAAGAGAATACATGTTGATGGAATATTGGAATATACGGGCCTCACCTCCATGAACGGTCCAATGACTACTGAATAGAAAGGCTCGGCCTTTTCTGGCCGCCCATGAAGCATGTGGCAGAAAGGCCCGACCTTCTGTGGCGGCTCATGAAGCACGTGGCTAATGAGCCACGACAATGAATAAGGGAGTGTTTGCAAAACATCAAAAAGTGTTTTTCAGCATTTTGGCTTTACAAAGCTGAAATGTGTGTTTTCAAGTGATAGCTTCTGCTTAAATTAAGCACCTAAAAGTTAAAAGATGGAAGCAGGTGGATAAATGTTTTAAATTATTTTTCTCTTTTTCTATTACACAAAAACACTTATTTTATTAAACACTACCGATTTATACTTATTCAAAAGCACGTTTTTCTAAAACAGTACCAACTTTTACTATTAAGCATTTTCTCCAAAATAACTTTAAAAATCACCTTTTTATAGTATTAGCAATCGCAAACACTCCCTAAGGTTCAATGGCTGCTATAGTAAGGGTAGACCATCCAGTGTCATTAGGGGTCAGGCTGAAGTTTTGTAGACCACACCAGGTTCCTTTCAATTAGAGGTTGATGGAGAGGGGTAATGGGATATTCACACAAGTTACAGAGACTATAAAAATGAAAATGACATCATATGGATCTAAAACAAAAATAAGTTATGTTTGCCAGGATGAAAAAACACTATTAAGCATATTATATAAGCTATATAATATAGCTTGATCACCGTAAAGCTATCACAATTTATACACGTGGAGTTGGTAAAGATTGTATATTAGCTTGTGAAATAATGTCTTGAATGTTTGCAGTTGTTTGGCTGCCTATGGAGCATATGTTCAACGAATGCCATACTCAAATGAGATCGGGTTGCGAATGTTAATAGGTGGAGTGATTAGAGAGGCTTTGACTGCTGGTCATCACGTTGTTCCCCTTTTCTCATACTACTCCTACCATGGACCGGTCTTCCGAGTGCTCTTAAAGATCAACAATGGGCTGCCTTCAGATCAAAGGCCAGTGATGCTGCTATTAAAATTTTCCTTAGAAGAGTAATGTTAGGGTGAAAACGGGGTTTACCCATGTGTGATAGTAAAGCCATAAGGTAACAAGTGCTCTTGACCCAGAGCTCTGTTTGGTAAGACTTATGCGGTAAAAAATGATCAAATAACCATTGCCAAAAGGTTGAATTTGCTGAACTTATATTATCATAAGTTTTTTGTAACACCCATTTCAGCCACTTTGGCTAAAGTTATTGAAGATTGTATATTAGCCTTCTTTCATTATACAGAGTATGTTTTCTATATTTTATTATTATAATATTATTTGAATACATCTTTTCATAATTCCACATTTTCATCAACATTAACCACAATTGCTGCAACTTCAGTTATTTCAACCAAATTTATCCTTGTCAGATGGGCTTTTATTCTGCTGACAAATAAAGTAATACATAACTGTCTTCCATAGGAAACCCCATAATATTGGTGTTACTTTTACAATCATGTAGTAATGCCATTGGTTTTTTATACCAGGCATTATGGCTTCGTGAGCTACTGTAGTCAGTGTGGTGATTCAAGAGCATTCCCCTGGGAAGAACTTGGCAAAGTCAGCTGTTCATGCGTTGCAAATGTAGGATTTCACACCTTAAAAGTCAGTGTCTGTTTGAAACAGATCGAGTTTTGGGAGGGTTTTTTAGAGGAAACCTTTGTGAAGGTCTTAGCCTATATCTTGAAGTATTTTTCAGATTTTATAAAAATGAAAGGTAACATAGTATGTGATTGCATGACATTTGAATCACCCATTTTTCGTATTCAAGACACATTCTATTTATAATGATATTGGATAAGCCATCCAAAAAACCCCATCCAAATAGACTCGTAAAGTTATCTCAAATCAGATTCATTTATGCCATTAATGTCTTTACAGGTTCGGGAACATTCTCCTGCTGTTTCAGGACCAGTATGGACAGGGCCTCTCCACAAAGAATCACATCTTAGAGAAATGTTAAACTTAGCCAACGAATGGGGATGGATAGGCAATGACACAGGAAGAGATCTTGAGAAGTTGTTAAATCAGATGATTGATGAGTGTGACCCCAATCTGCCAGTTGGTTACATAAAAGTGGATGAAGTATATCTGCAACTACTAATAATAGCAATATATATGTGTGTGTGCATATATATATATATATATATATATATATATATATATATATATATATTGGTGTGTCAGTGTGTGTGTATCATCATCATCATGATTACCCCAGTGCCGAAAAGGCTCCCACCTTTGGTGGGGTAGGGGGGTTCGGATGTACGCGGTCTTGCCCCTGTACTAAAGCACAGAGAAACTGTTTCCCTATGACCCATAGTGAAAATCCCATCGAAAATTGCATGGAGTGACCACTGCTTCATAACAAAGAAGTGTAGGCATTTTAGTGAGTCATTTTGCTTTATTCCATCATATTCCCAAGCCAAAAATAGTGAGTCTTTGACCCATAGAAATTTGCCCTCTTTATCAACCACAGAGGGACATCCTCTGTTTGTTATACTACGTATAATTTTTTTGTGTGTGTATTAGTGCAGATAGCAAGTCGTGCAAAAGTGAATTCCCCTCCCCTCAATTCAATACTGACTTCCCTGCAAAAGGTATATATATGCCCAACACCCTCATGATGGTTTACGTTGTGCATCCCTTCCATTCCCAACCTTCTTTCATAATTTTGTTGAGATGTAATAAATAACAAAATGGATTAAACTCTTTCACTTGAAGCATGAAAGCATTGGCGGTGTAAAACACCAGTCAGTGAATCCTTTTAGAAATCGGAAAAGCTTTTGTCTTTTCTTGGTGAAGTTTATCGTGATTCTCAGCTCATTGCTTCCGTTAATACCTATCACGTACATATTCATTAATGGCTTTCAAATATATCTTCACATATAGTGTTTTTTGGTGTGTTAGGTTACATTAACAAATTGTTGTTCTATATGCCTATATATTACTACATTGCCTTTTTAGTTGGTCTTTATTAACCTGATAACCTCCATTTTTTAAAAATGCTGTTGCCAAAGGATCTAGTATGGCTTTTTCCATGTTATTTACTACATATTTTTTAATAGATGCTTAATATTTTATTTCCAGAAAACTAGAGAAGTGTTAATTAAAAGTTGTAGCAGTAAGTGTTCTGGTAATTCCTCTACATCCCAAATAGCACCAGTTGAGATAAAGAAAGTTGAAATGATTTGGAAATAAGACTTTAGAAGGTAAGATTTTAGTTTCATAAGCCACTTCAGTTTTTTATGCAGATGGTGACAGACTGACAGGGATGGACTAGAAGAAAACAAGGACACTTACATAAATAAAAAACAAGTATAGGGACAAAAACATTACATTTAATTTTAAGCCAATAACAATTTATATGGACAAAAAAAGAAAAAATAACTTAAATTCCAGCTATAAAAACTTATTTTTAAGCCTACACACTCGTTTTCCCTGTTCTAATAATATATGTAGTATGTTTATAACAGCTGTGTGTCCACTCACAGAGAGGGTATGCTGCTAGTAGATCACATATTGCTTCCAATGCAATCAAGACAAATTGTCGCATGGATGGATGTGTTCGAATTGTGAAGGAACTACAACAGCCTGGATAAAGAGCAGGTAATTTAGGGTTTGTCACGCGTTTGCTGTTTGGGTGTTTCTGGAGCAATATACACACACAATTAACAACATCCACATCCTAAAGGTTGCTTGGAGGGATCCTTTTTAGTGTGTGGTTGGATTATGAAGGGATGATCTTAAATCTCAAATGCTTGGATAATGGTAGAGAACTAGTTACCATAATTGGTTCCTTGCATTGAAATGTATTATGAGTCGATCCAGTTTAATTGCGCTGACCCGAGCTCGGGCATGTTAATCAATTCCAAAAATGTATGCGTTGACACTCCAATAATCTGAGGGAGATTTCAACAAATAGGACTTAATCATACTAATTTTCCAAAATTAAGACTATAGATTAGGGTAAGACTTAAGTACATGAGCTTTGACCAAATTGCCCTCCCTATAAAAATTAAAAATAGAATACTCCTAATCGACATCACACTATCGAAGGAAACTGCACTACACAGTCGCTGCCATGGCCACCGGCGACACACCAGCCGCCGCTGCAGTCAGTAACACCGCGCCCTCTAGTGCGGCTGCCTCCGCCGCCTATTTTCTCAGGCCTGACATCAGCCCGATGCACTTCCTCTAGTGAATCTTCCCCTGGCACCACCTATGGCGAGATTGCTCCATATTTCCGCCGTGACAGCTGCCTCAGGCCGCTCCACTTGCCGCTGCCGAACCGCGCCAGTCGCCGCCGAATCGCGCCAGTCGCCGCCGCCACGCTGCACCATAGCGCACTGGTTTCCGATGTCTTCTTCTTCTTTCTTTTCTGTTCGATTTCGATGGCGTCCACGAAGATTATAAAGGAAGAAGATGGTTTTGGCCTTAAATCGGCGGGATTTGGGTGCGATACGGCCGGCGGGGTGCGGACGGCCTTCAATCGGCGGTGGACGCTTCTGCAAAACTTTTGAAGAAATCAGATCCAAAATCAAACTTGCAAACACTAGACAATACATAGACATTAAGTAGTCAGTAAACAGACCATAATTTCGAATAATAACTCAATAGCAGGCAATACATAGACAATAAGGGTAAAATTGGAAATTTAAAATCAAGTTTTCAAAACTAGAAATACATAGCTCTTACGGAAGGAAAAAACATGCGTATGTACTATTTTTATAAAAGTGCTTTGATTAGGTCCTACAAGGAGCAATTTTCTCTAATCTCATGTAATTGTTTAACTTGATAGTACGTAATTATTTTGAAAGGTATTTGGTATCAATTTAATGGTGTACTAGAACTGCATTGTAGCTACATAAAATAATAATAATAATAATAACCATAACAACTATAAGAAGAAGAAGAATAATCGCCCCAAACATGACCATATATGTATACTTCTCCTATGTAGGACTACTATCTAACCGTGTGCAGACAACGTAGCTTGTCTTATGCTCCATTTGTGGATAAGTTTTTTTCATCTGACCAATACGCGACCACATATCATAGAGTCTTCAAACCCATTCCTGATCGTGATTATTGGCCTACTTACAATGGACCAGAAATCGTGCACGATCCATCCATGCTTCAGGCTAAGGAAAGACCTAAGTCGACACGTATTAAGAATGAGATGGATGAAGGTCCCCGAGGAACGGTTAGAAGTGGAAAATGCCACCAAACTGGCCATAATAGGGCCACATGTGCGAAGAGATCATCAAGACACGATGGGGGGTCCAGTGGGTAAGGTGTTAATTATAGTAATTCACAGTTCATCTCAACGTTGCATGAAAACATATTAATTAATAAAATGGATGATTAAAAAAAAAAGAATTAGTATAATAGTAAAAATTAACTAATACGATTTTGTTTGTTTGTAGGCATGCAGGTGACAATGGATCCTAGGTCGAGTGATCAAGATGATCATGACAACTTCTACTTTGTCTTTTGTATTGCAGTTTTTCTTGTACAACATTTTAGATAATTTACAACATTTTAGATGTTGTAGGAACAATTTACAACATTTTACGTATTTTCCCTTATATGTTGTATTTGTGTTCGAGTATGAATATTAGATAATTAATTGTTATGAATGTTTGATGATTGTACTGTGTTTTACCGTTGAGTTGTATGTGTTTATGTATGTGTTTATGAACATGTGTGCTGTATGTTTTATAATGTGTTGCATCTCGCTCGTAACACTTAAACAGGAGAAGAGGCCTTATTTATAGCAAAAAGATGAGTCTGGGTTGAAATTGGGCAAAAAAACTGATGAAATTCTGTTTTCAGAATTAGGCACGATCGTGCCTACCCGTGCAGGCACGATCGTGCGTGGCTAGCAGTAGTTGTTGGTCTGCGTTCATATGGAAGGGGAAAGTCGCCCAAGCACTATTTTCCTGTCTTGGTCATTTCTAGAAAATAGTGAGGCCCATGATAGGGACTTGTGTTTTTGGTGCTAGGCCGGTTCCGATCGCTCCACTGACCCCATCCCCAACTTCTTGTTTATTTTAAAACCCTCCACCCCCTCCCTACTCCCTACCCAACCATTTTAAACTTTTAAATGGATCCCACCCTTTTAAAATGCCACCCAAAGGTTGTAATGCAAAAAATGGGACCAAGATCGAGACCGGCTAGAAATAGGGTTGGACCGGGCCCGGGCCAAGACGGGATTGGGCGGGTCTAGGTTTTTGGGTTGCAGGCTCGATACCGGCTCGAGTTTGTACCGGGATAGGGTCGGGTCAAGTTTTGTTTTTAATTTGTTTAAAATGAAAAAAGGCCCGAATCGACCAGGCCGATCCACCTTTTCAGCTATGGATGGACTCGGGTCCGGGTCGGGTCCGGGTCGGGCCTAGGCCCGGGCGGGCCGGCGGGTCAGAAATGGTGGACCCGGGACCGGCCCGAGTAACCACCGGGTCCGGTCCGGGTCTGAGCCGGGCCCATTATATATATATTTTTTGTTTTCCTCTTCCTAATTAACCCCCCTCCCACCCCAACCCCCCAAACCACCCCAAATGGCCCAAAATACCCAACCCAACCCGAAAATTTAAAAAAAATTGAAAAAAAAAATAGTTTTTGGCCCGAACCGGGTTCGGGCCCGGCCAGGTCGAGCCTTGTTTTGAGTGACCCGAGCCCGGACCGGAAAACCCACGGGCCGGGCCTACCCGGACCGATCACTTACCGGGCCACCGGGCCGGGCCGGGCCGGGCCGGGCCGGAACAGTACCGGTCCCGAGCCGGTTCCGGGTCGGGCCACCCGGCCCGAGTCCATCCATATTTTCAGCAGCCCGAAGCCCGCCCCTAATACCCTCGATTCGGGCCCCCAATCCCGATCGGCTGGGCTGAGACGGGCCAGGTCAAACCGGCCCAGTCCATGCCTAGCTAGAAATCAATCACAAAAAGTGATTCTGAAGATCGGGGGGGCTTTTGGCCATTCCCACCAATTCGGTCTCGATCTCGACTCCAAACCTTGTTTTTCGATCCCGGTCAAATATCAGTTAGTCTCATGATTGGTAATTCGATATCTTGTCCACCACTAACGTCATTGCACAAGGCTAGGGGTGGACCCAATTTGGTGATCCAACTTGATTCAAAACCGGGTCAAGTACTGTGTGGGAGCAGAGTCAGCAGACTGGGTCCGAAATACGATCCCAATTCAAAACCGGGAACCTGATCAGGTTACTAGCGAGCCTTGTGTTGTGTCCTAACATATGGCACCAAACCGGGCAATTATAGTCTCGATTGTGATGTTAGACTTGCCTTTTTGTTTTGCTTGAAAAGAGATAAAGAAATAGGTTGAGGTCCAAGACCAAACCACCTGAGTACCTGGAATAGGCCCAAACCCGAAATATAGCAGTTTGGGGCCAGGTTTCTTGAAATTTTTAGGGCCGACCCGGCTCCACCGCTTATGCAATATGCAATTTTAAAGTGTCATGGCTACGCAATACACAATCTCGAACCTTGACCGGAACACTAATATTACTTCCACGTGACAAAATGAGGTAATAATAATAATTAGAATAATATCATGACCAATGGACTTTCTTTTTAGAATTGTAAAAATTCTGATGGCAATTTTTTAAACATGTTCCAGATATCACATTATTCACTTGTAAATTGAAAGCTTTCTTATGTATATAGCTCAACCAAGCTAACTTTTATCCTACCTCGTGAAAAAATCTAATAAGCATTTTGCTACATCAAATAGCACCGTGATATCATATGTATACTAAATTCAAAGAATATGAGGTGGAAAAGTCGTTCGTCTAGGGACTCAATTACTTGTACTGAACAACTTTCTCCCCATCTGATATATTGTCACAACTTAACCATATCTGATTGAGTTGCACCAGAATGTAGATTATAGCTTTTACTCATTTGTTCAAATGCTTCAAGCTCTGCAGCTAACTTTCAAGGGATATATTAACATCATTTGTAACGTGCACTGCCATTTTCCAAGCGTACTAAGGGAATTGATTCATCTTCCTGTGGCTGCATTATTTATTTGCCATGAAATTTAAGTTAGGAAAGTGGGACACATTAAAATGTCAAGTGTGCTTGAAATGAACAGCTTCATCATGAACACATATTCTAAAAATTCAGCTAGGCGTCCGTAGAACAGCTTGGTTCTAGGTGAGCTAGACACCCTATTAGATGCTCTTTAGGGTGTCCTTGGCCGAAGGAAGGGGGTGCTGTATGTTACTTCGTTTCATTTTGTTGAAGAGGAAGGGAGGGGAATAGCTTCTCCTAAGAAAATATGGAGGGCGAGAAGAATAAGAGGTGAGGATGAACTTGATCCCTCTCCTTCCAATTTCTATAACCGAGTGAGGGGAAGGGGAACATTTTCCCTCCCCTCCCTTCCTCCAATAATCCCTAACTAAATACACCCATAGAACCCCTCTGGTTTTGTGCGTAGAAAAATCTTCTTGCAAATCAATGAAATCCAAAGTACATTTTAGTTTTGGACAAAATTTGACTCATGGTGCCAAAAACCTACATTAACGAAAAACTAACCCATGATGACTTTTGTGATAGAGAATAAGATATTTTCTATGTTAGCCCATTAAAATTTTACACCACTTGTTAAACTCAATATCTAAAATAAATACAAGTGTCAAAAGCACATTCCCACCATAATTCGAATCAGTGCTTAGTGAATTTAACGGCAATGATTGCAGAAAGACGAATGTGAAAGATATAGCACCTGAAGTTGTTGGGGTGAATCTTCCGTAGCTTTTCTCTGTGACTCTAGAGTGCAGTAATAAGAGTAAAGAACCATGCCAATCATTGCAATCAGGATCCCGAGAATATTCCTCCAGTTAAATGGATCACGAAGTAGGACATAACCAAACGCTAATACCAGACATGTTTTAAGATGCCCAAGAACCTGGTAGGTGACCGGCGATGTCTTTCCAATCACAAGAAATGTGCTAAAGTTAACAGAAATTGATATCAAGCAGGACATAACAATGAATCCCTGAAATATTGAATATGGAGTATTAGATCTGGAAATTATTGCTCATTTATGGAGTAAAAACACTATAAAATTTAGACTTGTAGTGTGTACCAGCACTTGCGGAGTATATTGGAAAGCAAACACATTTTGATTGGTCAAAAACTTGTCCAGAAATGGCCCGGAAACAAATAGAGTCATCGCTTGATAAGGACATGTTTGATACAACAGCTGCGTTGAGGAGACCTTAAACTTTTTCTGAATGGTATTTGTCATCTGAATGAAATGTATTAAGAACTACTTTCCAATGAATTATTACAGTACAACAGGAGCATGTGCACTGTGCCTATAGTCTAAAACAGAGCAAAATGAATATAAAAAACATATTACTTTCTTTTAAATCTTCTTTTAATCATAATGGTCAAGCATCCAGAACTACTCTCTTCGTTGTTAAATAATTCTCCAATAACTAAAGACATTTTGTTGGTGGATAGTTATCCAATTAGCAACCAATAGAATGTAAAATGACTACAATACCCTGCCATATTAATTTTGCTTTTGCATGTTACTTTTAAGGCCAATGCTACTCATAGCACTTAGGAGTAAGGGCGTTGTTTGAGGAATCAAAGGAGGAAAGTTTTTATAGGAATAAAAACATATTTATTGTTCCAAAAGGTGGAATCTCCCACCCCAGGAGCCACCCAACCCCAACCCGACAGGATGGTGGGGAGGTTAGTCACGGTGACTCAGTCAGCAGAATGGCAGTAGGCCCATACACCCGTGCGCACCAGAGGCCCAGCCTTATTTCAGGTTCTGTGACCTCCACCCGGTCGCTGCGGGGATTCGAACCTTGGTCCATTGTTCCAAATCTCCCACCACTCGACCAACTGAGCTACCCGTGCGGGTATAAAAACATATTTATTGCGATATGTAGAAAGTACATTCATATGATTTTTAATTAAGACATTTTAACTTTAATTTCTTAACCATTTCCATAAGAGCTTTGGTTAACATGATTCTACTTTTAATGTCTAGAAATCAAGAGTATGTAATTTTGTATGAAAACTATTGTTGACCTTAAAAACTACTCCCTCCGGTCCTTATTAAACTTTACCGTATGACTTCACACATATTAAGGAAATAAATTTGACTTTACTGTAGAGACTGTTTGACACTGTTTGGCACTGTTTTGCACTGTTTGGTGTAGATTTGTTTGCCAAATAAGGCAAATAAGGAAGTGTAAAGTTTAATATGGGACGGCCCAAAAAGGAAAGTGTAAAGTTAATTAAGGACCGGAGGGAGTACAAAACTTCCTTGATGGATGGATGGTAATGGATGCACATACTCTGAAATGTCAAAACAAGTTTCTACTCTGCAGTCTGCACTGGACAATCTCAGACCGAGTACTGAGATATACAAATATACGTAGTATTACATAGAAATATAAAATATTTCATGCTTAACAAATTATAGAAGCATGGAACAAGTGAAATCCTGATGATGCATTTAAGAATCAAGAGAAAAAAGACGATATCAAGTCATCATGACCACTAACACTGAATAAAGAGCTGGCAATTTAAATTGGTAATACTGGCATGTATATATTTGTTTAAATTGATGTTAAAAGAACATATAAGGATTATAAGGTACATATAACCACAGCAAAGGATACAATTTGGGCAATGCAAGTTGTGAGTAC